AGTCGCGTTGTCTTCCTCCTTCGAATAGTAACATACTCCGTAATACTATTACCGATATAGTCGTATCGGCTGCTAATACACTACTAGATCGTAGCGTAATACTATTATCTCTATTACTATTATTCGTACGCGCGCGCGTATCCTCGTCGATTGCCTAGGCCTCGAGGCCTCGACAGAATAAAGGAATGAGAGGTAGAGTCCTTAAAAGAGTAGTAACTAATTAACTAACGCGTCGTAGCGCGCCTAGTATAGTCTTATTATCCTAGTTTGCTGGCTTCTAATTAGTTAGCTAATAGCACCCCGGGGGTGCTATTAATCCTAAGCCTTAGTAACATTACGAGCTTTTAGCCTTCTTCTTGTTCTTTACGCTAGTCTAGTACTTATCTAACAACTCGGCTATATCCTCGAAGGAGTCTTTAGCCTCCTATAAGTCCTGTTTAGGTAAATAGCCTTACTATCTTAGGGGGTATTCCTTCTTGCCTTACCCAGTTCGATACTTTAGGATACGTTCTACAGACTACAGCTCTTTACTACTAGCTAGTGTGTCCTCGGATTCAGCAGGTGCTTCGTCCCCTTCGCGGTAGTAGTGTAGTTTAAGGAGGGAGATATAGAAGGTGTTATAGACAGTATAGTGTAGTAGGAGCTATAACTAATAGGCCTAGCTATTGCCCCTCGGTTCTCGGATTCGGAAGGGGCTAATAAACCGTAGTGCTAGTTTAGGTCGTGTTTTACTATTAGGTAATAGGTATTTGCGAATACGGAGGTTCTTAGTACTTAATATAACTATATCGCCTTACTTAAAGGTTATTAGGGTATAGTGTTTGTTATAATAGGCCTTCTAATAGGCCTAGGCCTTTACTAGTTTGTTAGCTAACTTAGCGTAAATTTCCCGTATCTTTTGAACCCTCTTAATAGCCGCTAGTGTTTTAGGTACTTAACGCGCTTCCCTTTCCTTGCGCTCGGCCTCGAGCGGTAGGGGGTCTTATAGTATAGCAGCGTTTTAGCCTATTATAGCTATATAGGGTAAAACCTTTGTTAATAAGTATACGCTATTATTATATACGAATTCTATAGGCTATAGGAGATTAACCCAATCCTCCGGGTTCTCGTTAATATAGCTGCGCAGGTACTGCTATAGCGTAGCATTCTGCCTCTCTATTTAACCGTTAGTCTATAGATAGAAGGCTATTAATAGCCGATGCTTCAGTCTTAGCTATAGGCACAATTCGCTCTAATAGTGCGATATAAATGTCGAGCCCCTATCGGAGACTATCCCCTTAGGGGTCCCCTAATAGCTATAGAAGATATTATTCTATAGTGCTTTAGCTATATTAATAGTCGTCTAATCCTTGCGCGCCGGGATGTATCGAGCGCCCTTAGTAAACTAGTCTACGACGACTAGGATAGCGTTAAAGATATCTTTGCTTCCTCTTCGCTTAGTAGAGGGAAGACCTATAATAAAGTCTATTATAAGCTCTATAAAAGGCTTCTTTAGGACAGGGAGTAAAGACAACTCGCTAAATAGTAAGTGTTTTAGTGCTTTAACTCGCTAGCATACTATACAGGTCTATATATACTCCTTTATATGCCGCTTACTATTTAGCTAGTAGTATATATGCGATAGTAACTCGTACGACCTCTCTATACTATAGTAACTAGCGAGCTTACTATTATAGTGCCTCTTTAAAAGCTCTTATCTAATCGATTGTTTAGCGGGAACATAGTATCTACCCTTAAACTTTAAGTAACCCTTATTATCGATCGACTAGTTACTCTTACTAGATCGAGTCGTTCGCCTACTTATAAGCTTATTAATACGTTTAGTAGCAAAGGCGTCCCTCTACTAAGCACGTAATAGCTTATCTATAAACGATTAACTATCCCTATTTGCAAGGTTATTTAATAGTACTCGTACTGTCGAACGAGGTACGTATTATATATATCTAATAGTACTAGTAGCCGGAACTACTACAACCTCTTCTATAGTGCTATCGCTATATAGGCTATTACTATAGATAGCAATGTCTTTAATCGAGTTATTATAGCTCGAGCGATCTACGTCCTTTCTAACGCATACTAGAAGAACGACAACTCCGCTATAGTATTTATTGCCGCCGCGGGGTCCGGAAGTCCGCTTATCCTACGCTTACTTATTAATAATATAGGCTATAGCAATCTTATACTATAGGGTTGGAAACAATAAATTAATAGATTGCTAAGTCTCGCTATTGTAATTAGGTCGCCTCGATAGGCTATCGGTAGGGTTACTTACGCCTAGCCGGTATAATATATTAAAATCGAACCCGGCGAGGTAGACGGCCTATCTAGCCTGTCGACCTATAACCCTTATAACCTTAGTAATACTACGTAGGTTATTATAGTCCGTATAGACCTAAATTGTATGCTAAACACCGTCGAGATAGTAGCGCTAGTACTTAAAGGCTTCTACGATTACTAAGAGCTCTTGCTCGTAAGTCTCGTATCGACGTTCTATATCGATTATCTTCCGTAAGAAGAAGGCAATTAGGTACTAGTAGGTGTTATTAGCCTATTATAACATAATAGCTAATATAGCGAACTATAAAGCGTTAGTCTTAATTCGGATCTGCTTGCTTAGCACGAAATAGTATAATAAGGGGACTTTAGTAAAGCGTTGCTTTAGACTGTTAAAAGCGGCTTATGCTTTGTTAGTCTATTTAAACTCTCTAGTTAGGTTAGCCTTAGTTTTAGTAAGCTTAGTTAATAGCATTATATGCCTCGAATAGCCCTTAATAAACCGGCGGTAGAAGTTAGCAAAACCGAGGAATAATTAAAGCTCTTTAATAGACGTAGGAATAGGCTATTTAGTAATTGTTTTAATTCGATTAGGATTAGCCTTAACACCCTTAGTTAATACGAGGAAGCTAAGGAAGGCCACCTCCTTAGTAGTAAAGGTACATTTAGAAGGCTTGCAATATAGTCTATAAGCTCGTAGGCGGTCGAGGACCTTACGTACTACGGCCTAGTATTCTGCAATATTAGGTAAATAGGTATAAATTAGGATGTTATCTAGGTAAACTATATAGAGATAGTCTAATAGGCCTAACAAGGCCCGATTAATATAGGACTAGAAGGTTATAGGGGCATTAGCTAGCCTAAATAGCATAACTAAATACTCGAAATAGCTATAGCGGGTACGGAAGGCTGTTTTCTATTTATTACCCTTACGGATGCGGATGCGATAGTATATATCCTTAATGTCTAATATAGTATAGTAGTAGGCACTAGAA